GTTCCCTGGAATATTGGGGATTCCCCGGAATACTGGGGATTCCCTGGAATGCTTGGGAGTTCCCTAGAATATTTGGGATTCCCTGGAATACTGTGTGTTCCCTGGAATGCTGTGGTTTCTCTGGAATATTGGGAATTCCCTGGAATGCTGAGGATTCCCTAGAATACTGAGGGTTCCCTGGAATGCTGGGGATTACTTGGAATGCCAGGAATTCCCCGGAATACTGGGGATTCCCTGGAATGCTGAGGATTCCCTAAAATACTGAGGGTTCCCTGGAATGCTGGGGATTCCCTGGGATGCTTGGGAGTTCTCTGGAATGCTGGGGGTTCCCTGGAATGCCGGGAATTCCCGGGATCTCACCTGGGTGGGTAGAATTCCATGGGTGATCCCGGTGTTGTGGGTCCCGGTGCCGATGACTCCGGCCGCCGACACCTCGGACACGGCCCCTAAACTGGGAATGGGAACAGGAATGGGAATGGGAACGGGAACAGGGATCCTTCCCACATGGATTCCCTGGGATGAGGCAGCCGGGAACATCCCAGGAGGTGAAATCCATAGGGAAAAGATCCAGGGAAAAAGGTGCCTCCATCCAAACGGGGCCCAGGGGAAGTTCAAACAAAGCAGGGAATGATTCCCGCTCCTGGGAATTCCGGAGGGTTTGGGATGGAAAATCCCTCCGGGATCATGGAGTCCAAGCATTCCCAGCACTTCCAAGGCCACCCCGGATCCGTGTCCCCAAGGGCCACATCCACAGGGATTGGGAATCCCTCCGGGAATGGGGAATCCACCACTGGAGGAGCTTTTCCATGCGGGAATTGTTCCCAAAATCCCACCTGAGCCTGGAGGGACATTGGAGGCCGTTCCCTCTCCTCCTGGCCCTGGAGGATCCCAGGGATGGACACTGGGAGAATCCCAAGAGATGGACACAGAGAGAATTCCAAGAATGGACACCTGGAATGTCCCCAGGGATGGACACCGGGAGAACCCCAGGGAGGATCCCAGGGATGGACACCAGAAGAATCCTAAGGAATGGACACTTGGAGAATTCCAAGGATGGACACCAGGAGGATCCCAAGGGATGGACACTGGGAATGTCCCAGGGATGGACACAGAGAGAATTCCAAGGATGGACACTGGGAATGATCCCAAGGATGGACACCAGGAATGTCCCCAGGGATGGACACTGTGAGAATCCCAAGGGATGGACAGGGAGAGAATTCCAAGGATGGACACCGGGAGAATCCCAGGGAGAATCCCAGGGATGGACACCGGGAGAATCCCAAGGAATGGACATCCAGAGAATTCCAAGGATGGACACCAGGAATGTCCCCAGGGATGGACACCGGGAATGTCCCAGGGAGGGACACCGGGAGAATCCCAAGGGATGGACACAGAGAGAATTCCAAGGATGGACACTGGGAGAATCCCAAGGAATGGACAGGGAGAGAATTCCAAGGATGGACACCAGGAGAACCACAAGGAGGATCCCAAGGGATGGACACCGGGAGAATCCCAAGAGATGGACACAGAGAGAATTCCAAGAGATGGACACTGGGAGAATCCCAAGGGAGGGACAGGGAGAGAATTTCCAGGGATGGACACTGGGAATTCCCCAGGCAGGGACACCGGGAATGTCCCCAGGGATGGACACTGGGAGAATCCCAAGGGATGGACACCAGGAGAGAATTCCAAGGATGGACACCAGGATCTTCCCTGGGAAGATCCCCAGGAATGGACACCGGGAATGTCCCCAGGGATGGACAGTGGGAGAATTCCAAGGATGGACACCGGAGAACTCCAGGGAGAATCCCAGGGATGGACAGGGAGAAAATTCCAAGGATGGACACCGGGAACGATCCTAGGGATGGACACCGGGAGAATCCCAAGGGATGGACACCGGGAATGTCCCCAGGGATGGACACCGGGAGAACTCCAGGGAGAATCCCAGGGATGGGCACTGGGAATGTCCCAGGGATGGACATTGGGAATGTCCCCAGGGACGGACACCTGGAGAATTCCAAGGACGAACACTGGGAGGATCCCAAGGGATGGACACCAGGAATGTCCCAGGGATGGACACCAGGAATGATCCCAGGGATGGAAAACAGGGAATGTCCCAGGGATGGACACTGGGAAAATTCCCAGGGATGGACACCGGGAATGATCCTAGGGATGGACAGTGGGAGAATCCCAAGGAATGGACACTTGGAGAATTCCAAGAATCGACACCAGGAGGATCCCAAGGAATGGACACCGGGAGAATTCCCAGGGATGGACACTGGGAATGTCCCAGGGATGGACACCAGAAATGTCTCAGGGATGGACACCCAGAGAATTCCAAGAGATGGACACCGGAGGATCCCAAGGGATGGACACCGGGAATGTCCCAGGGATGGACACCGAGAATGTCCCCAGGGATGGACACCGGGAGAATTCCAAGGATGGACACCCAGAGAATTCCAAGGGATGGACACCGGGAATGATCCTAGGGATGGACACCGGGAGAACTCCAGGGAGAATCCCAGGGATGGACACTGGGAATGTTCCTAAGGATGGACACCGGGAGAATCCCAGGGAAGATCCCCAGTGATGGACACCAGGAATGGTCCCAGGGAGAATTCCAGGGATGGACACCGGGAGGATCCCAGGGATGGACTCCCGGAGAATTCCCATTGGGAATGCCGGGAATGCTGTGCTCACTTTTGCAGGGCCAGGCCGTGCTTGTCCAGCTCCCGGTTGAGCTCGGAGAGGAGGATCCCGCCTTCCACCGTCACCTGCCGCTTCTCCACGTCCACCTGGGAATGTGGGAAGGACATGGAATGTCACAGCCCATGGAAAACTCACAGGGATTCCCTCCTGGAATTCCGGGATCGGCGTTTCCACCTCCCATCCCAACCCTGATCCTGCTGGAATGGGCTGGATGTGCCGATCCAAACCTGCCCTCCCTGCTCCCGGGGCTCTGGAATCTCTCCCGGGAATTCTCCCGCCACCAGGATATCCCAGGAATCCGGCATTCCCTGGAAAACCGGGCTCCTCTTCCCTCCTTTCCCTCCTATTCCCTCCTGGAATTCCGGGATCGGCCTTTCCACCTCCCGGCCCTTCCCCATCCCGCTGGAATGGGGCTGGATGTGCCAATCCAAACCCACCCTCCCCCCTCTCTCCCTGTTCCCAAGGCTCTGGAATCTCTCCAGGGAATTCTCCCACCACTGGGATATCCCAGGAATCCGGTATTCCCTGGAAAACCGGGCTCCTCTTCCCTCCTTTCCCTCCTTTCCCTCCTGGAATTCTGGGATCGGCCTTTCCACCTCCCGGCCCTTCCCCATCCTGACCCTGATCCCGCTGGATGTGCC